TCTTGTAGAATATTAGTAGCAGTGGCAAAGAAAACACCCTTGCCCTGTTCCTGAAATTAGGGAGAAAATATTTATTCTCTTTTTAAGTATGAAGTCAGTTGAAGTTTCTTTAAAGATGCCTTATGTTAATATAAAGACGTTATATTTCTAGTTTACTGAGAGCCTTATCATAGAGGATGGTTGAATATTACTAAATGATATTTTATGTCTATGATGAGGTTTTAGTTTTTTAATATTCTATTTATTATTTTTATTTTGTGTGTACAAGTATAATGCCTGCGTGTTGGTGGGTGCACCCGTGTCGTGCAGTGCCCACAGAGGTCAGAAGAGGGTGTCGGATACCCTGGAACTGGAGTTAAGGATAGTTGTTAGCCACCATGTGGGTGCTGGGAATCGAAGCCAGGTCTTCTGCAAGAGCAGCTAGTGCTCTTAACCATTGAGCCATCTCTCCAGCCCCTATTTTTTAGTTTATTAATTGTGCTGGATTACATTTATCAATGTTCAAATATTGAGCTAAGCTTGAGTCCCTATGAGGAGCCCCCTGGACCATAGTATATTATCCTTTATCATATTGCTAGGTATGGTTTACAATATTTCTTGGAAATTTTTGTGCCTATATTCATGATGAACACGTACTTATATTTTTCTTATATTTTCATTAATAATAAGATAATACTGCTTCATAAAATAAGTCAGAGGGCTGGAGAGGCTTAGCAGTTAACAGCGCTGACTGCTTTTGCAAAGGACCCAAGTTCAGTTTCAAGCACCCACATGGTGGCTAACAATCTTCCAAAACTCCAGTTCCAGGGGATCCACCACCCTTTTCTGGCCTCTGCAAGTCAATGCATGACATGGGAACAATTACATGCATGCAGGTAAAACACTCATACACATAAATTTAAAATAAATTATTTAATTAAAATAAAATAAGTCAGAAGCTGTTCTCTCTTCTGTTTTCTAGACAATAATGCATAGGGTTTCTGTTCTTTCTTTGTTTGGTGCAATTCACCAATGAAACCATCTGAGCTTGAACTTTTCTTGCTTGGAAGCATCATAACTATAAATTTAACTTCTTTGGTATATTGAATTATGGAAATAATTTTTTTTTTCTCTAGGGAGGTTTGTGATTCTGTCTTTTGAGAACATGGTCCGTTTTACCTAAATTGTGAATTTATGGACAAATGGTTAATCACGGTATTCCTTTGTTATTCTTTTAAAGTATGGGATCCATAGTGTCCCCTGGCTTTCATTCCTGGCATTGGCGATTTGTGTCTCCTCTCTTTAGTCCTTGCTCTATCCAGCTGAAAGTTTACCGATTTGAGTTTTCCAAAGAGCTGACTGTTGAGGGTAACTGAGTTTTAAAATCGTTTTTCTCCTTTCAATTTCATTTTCTTCTTTCCTAGTACTTATTATATTCTCCTTTTTGACAGCTTTAGGATTCTGTTGTTTGTTGTTTGTCTTTTACAGGACCTCACTGTGTAGCCCTAGTTGGCCTGGAATATACTGTGAAGACCAGACTGGCCTGGAACTCACAGACATCCACTTTCCTCTGCCTCCCAAGTACTGGGATTAAAGACAGGTGCCACCAAGCTTGGCATTTTCAAAAGTTTCTTAAGGTAGGCTTAGGCTGTTGATGTAAAATTTTTCTTCTTTTCTGATATATGTACTAAATGTTGTTTAGTCACTGTTGAATCCCCACAATTCTGATATGCTGTATTATTTATTTATTATTTATTTATTATTTTTAGGTGGGGTCTCAGCCCAAGCTGACCTCCAGCTTACTATGTAGCCAAAGATGGCCTTGAATTTCCAATCCTTCTGACTCCACTTCCCAAGTGGTGAAATTACAGAGGTGGGTCATCGTGTCCAGTTTATGCAATATGGGGAACAGAACCCAGAGTTTTGTGAATGTTAAGCAACCACTCTACCAACTAAGTTGCATCTCCAGCCTGATATATTGTATTTTTATTTGGTTCAAGATAAATTTTAACATCCCTCGAGATTTCCTCTTTGACAAATAGCTTATTTAGAAGTACATAGTTTTTTATTCAAATATTGGAGGATTTTGCAAATTTTTTTTGATACTGATTGATGAATTAAAATTATAGGCCAAAACATACTTAGATGATTTCTATCCTTTTAAGTTGTTGGGGTTTGTTTTATGACAGAATGTGGTATATCTGTCATAAAAGATTGGGTGAATCTTCCATACACACTTGAGAAAAATGAGTTCCACTATTGTTTAGCATCTTCTTATAATGTTAGGCTGAGTTGGTTGCTGGTACTATTCAAGTGGTCTCATTGATTGGTGGTGTTATTCGGGTGGTCTAGTTGGTTATTCTTGTTATTCAAGTGGTCTAGTTGGTTGGTCTTGTTATTCAGGTGGTCTCATTGGTTGGTCATGTTATTTGGGTGGTCTAGTTGGTTGGTCCTATTCAAGTGGTCCAGTTGGTTGGTGGTGTTAGTCAGGTGATCTAGTTGGTTGGTGCTGGTCAGGTGGTCTAGCTGGTAGGTGGTGTTATTCAGGTGATCTGTGTCCTTGTTTATTTTCTGCTACTGTCCTATTAGTGACTCAAAGTTTTGGAATCTCTTATAATTGTTAACTTTCTAATTCTCCTTTCAGTTGTATGAATTTTTACCTCACTGATTTCTTGATTATTTGCTTGTTTGCTAGTGATAGAGTCTCATGTAGCTCAGGCTGGCCTTGAACTCACTATATGTCAGAGGACGACATTGATCTTCCTGATCTTCCTGCCTACACTCCCTAACTGCTAATATATATATAT